ATGCCGCTTTCACAGGTGCCTGTTGCTGCTTCATAGCAATTCCGGAAGCACAGATAAACCCACAATCTCTCTCCAGGGTCTCTCATTCCTTATTTTATTCAATACATTTGAATAGCCGCCAACCTTCGTTAACAAAATTATTTGGCACATGTCGTGACGGGTACTGCAAGATCCGACCATGTCTGTCCAGTGCTCGCTAGGCTGCATTGGCTTGCGGTTGCTAAACGAATACATTTAAGGTCGTGCACATTACACACAAAGTGCTTGCCATAAATGAACCACAATATCTTGCCAATCTTGTCAAGGAGCATACACCATCACACAAATTCTGGTCACCCTCGCAGTGGCTTTTTGCAAGCCATCGAACAAAGATGGCCAGTGCATCGCGTGCTTTCAGATGCGCTTCTGTGGCCGTCTGGAACCCTCTTCTGATATTAGGAAACCACTGGAGTGATGCAATTTTAAATTTAGATTGAAAACTAATTTCTTTAGAATTGCTTTTTGTGCTTAGTTTGTTGTCTTTCACCTGCACCTTTGATTAGCACGGTTAGCTACATACGGTGCAAAAGAAGTTCAACATACATCAAGCAAGTAGAAATATACGATTAAATATGAGTGGAAATACATACAGGGCAACTGTACACGTTTAAACATAAAATGACATATAGCTGATTTATGTTTTCACCTACTGTTTTTATGAATTGTCAAGTGCTGGAATTAATTATTTCTTGAATAAAAAATATTATAAATTATATACATATGAATATAAATAGAATAGCAGCAGTGCATTATTAATATTACTAAGATGAGATGTAAGGAAGGCAGTGTAATATATTTTTTATGCTTATCAATACGTGTCACTTGTGGTTAGACTCATACCACATATGCAGTTGTCAATATCAGGTCAAAGTATTTTTTACATTTCTTAGCCAAAAGGGCACATAGCCAGGTACATTGTGTGGTAAATTGCAATATTTATGGTATCCAAGATACATTTATTGCATCTTTTTGAGGAGGTCTATACGTGGAATATATTGCAAGCTATTATGCTTACATGGACAAGATTGTTCAGCTGTTGTAGACAGATGTATCGTGTTGAGGGACACTTATGACTCAGGAAAGTAAGCATTAACATTTTCATGCAATGGTTTTCCATTGAAGTTAAAAGAGTTCATCCGAAGGGTCATAAACTAAACCCTTTTTGCTTGTTTTTCTTTATCATAGACTACGCATTTAACTTTCAAATGACGTTGGTTTTAAGTGTTTCTATGCATAATGTAAACACTGGTATTTTTTTTTCACGCACCAAGGATTTTCACGAGCAAATATTAAACCTATTTTGCAGGATGTCCTTTCCTTTCATGCCTACAAAACTGTTAACTTTGAAACAAATATAGGTGACAGCAAAGCTCACAATCACCTGCTTCTAAATAAATAAACTCACGATAGTTACTTCATTTTTTTTAGAGGCGTGCTTCGTGTGCAGATATAATATAAAACCATTCCTTGACACTGGCACACAATTGCTTGCCCATATTCAGAGTGACGGGGTCGTTTTGGACCCACAGTTTATAAGAGAAGACATGCCATGTAACGACGCTACTTTAATATCAAGACATTCCACTTCACATTATTTAGGAGTCAAGAGGCGACTTGAACCAGTCCATAAACTGGCAAAGCTTTGAACCGTGAGGCAGAAATGCTTGACCTGGAGATATCCATGTTATCCAGTTTCAACCAAACAACAAATATGAATAAATAGGAGTGCAAATTATGATAATAATTTACCGTTTGTTGTTAATCCACTGCTGGATGATGGCTTCCTCATATTGTGTTGCTTGCAGGGTGGTTGTTTGACCGAATTCCACACTGCGTGATGTAGATTGGTCAAAGACAGGTCCAGGACTAGTACAGATAGCCGTGGCCAGGAATCAAACTCGGGTAGCTATGCTCATAACAGAGTACATGCTAACCACTGTGCCACCGTTCGATCTTAATTAGTGCTTATTGGTCTTAAAATTAGAATACTAAATTAGAGTGTTTAAATGTATTATATTGGCTCCATATTTTGCATGTCACGGCTCGCCATGTAAAACAGAAAAGAGGTACACACACCTATTATGGCAGTTGGAATTTATACAGGAAAGAGTGCACTACATTTGTATTTGTCAGTTTAAAAAAATAAATACGTTGTGTTTTGGTACACGTTATAGGAGCAGACTTGCAAAATCACTGGTGCCCGTAGAGTTTTGTCAAATGAGTGATACAAAAAAGTTAAACAAAGCTTAAAAGCTAATTCTATTGCAAGCATGAGCCAGCTTCATCAGCCTACACAGATTTACCAGAGATTTGGCAAAGCACACTGTGGGTAGATTATGCTTAGACCTGGCCAATTGGCCCAACTCAGGATTGGAAGGTGGTGAATTCAAATATTGGTCAGGGGTCGAGTCATTTCACTGCGGTCAACAAAATGACTATCGCTTTGTGACAATAGTGATTATACTGTGTCCTACCATAGGAATATAGACATTTCCACCCACTGGCTCAAGGCCACCACCAATCACCCGAGGCTTATTTGAGCGGGGAGACTCTTCAACATTGACGTTACAAATTTAGATGAGATCCAGATCCAATGCGACCACATATCCTCCTGCGTGTCTGATGGAAAGCTGTGTAATACACTGTGGGTAACTGTTTTGCGTTTTGTGAGCAGGGGCCGTGTACATATTAATCAATGCTGACACCCAAATTTGTAGCAAAAAAAATAACTCCGACATTGCATGAACTGCTTTGATACAGTGTGATTGTGTACAATAAAAGTGAATGCGGCTGTTTGCACATTGTTAATCAATTTAATGTTCAACATTTACAATGATAATGCACGTGTCCAATGTGTTATAATGATATAAATGTAAAACATATATAACAAGATTTTATACTTCTGAAATGAATGTATATTTTAGGACAAGAATAGAGTTGCAAGCATGCTTGGCCGAGCTGTATACGATCACTGTGAGAGATAGGGCCTATTATTTTTTGATGCACGATTGTCATTTATTTCTACTCTAAAAGCATAGAGAAGCAGAGTATATTTGGACCGCATAATGTGTTCACTGATAAAAGAAAATGATGGTTAAAACATGTTTCATACAGTGAGGGAAAAAAGTATTTGATCCCCTGCTGATTTTGTACGTTTGCCCACTGACAAATAAATGATCAGTCTATAATTTTAATGGTAGGTTTATTTGAACAGTGAGAGACAGAGTAACAACAACAAAATCCAGAAAAACGCAATTAAAAAATCTTATAAATTGATTCGCATTTTAATGAGGGAAATAAGTATTTGACCCCTCTGCAAAACATGACTTATACTTGGTGGCAAAACCCTTGTTGGCAATCACAGAGGTCAGAAGTTTCTTGTAGTTGGCCACCAGGTTGCACACATCTCAGGAGGGATTTTGTCCCACTCCTCTTTACAGATCTTCTCCAAGTCATTAAGGTTTCGAGGCTGACGTTTGGCAACTCGAACCTTCAGCTCCCTCCACAGATTTTCTATGGGATTAAGGTCTGGAGACTGGCTAGGCCACTCCAGGACCTTAATGTGCTTCTTCTTGAGCCACTCCTTTGTTGCCTTGGCTGTGTGGTTTGGGTCATTGTGTCATGCTGGAATACCCATCCACGACCCATTTTCAATGCCCTGGCTGAGGGAAGGAGGTTCTCACCCAAAATTTGACGGTACATGGCCCCGTCTATCGTCCCTTTGATGCGGTGAAGTTGTCCTGTCCCCTTAGCAGAAAACACCCCCAAAGCATAATGTTTCCACTTCCATGTTTGACGGTGGGGATGGTGTTCTTGGGGTCATAGGCAGCATTCCTCCTCTTCCAAACACGGCGAGTTGAGTTGATGCCAAAGAGCTCCATTTTGGTCTCATCTGACCACAACGCTTTCACCCAGTTGTCCTCTGAATCATTCAGATGTTCATTGGCAAATTTCAGCCGGGCATGTATATGTGTTTTCTTGAGCAGGGGGACCTTGCGGGCGCTGCAGGATTTCAGTCCTTCACGGCGTAGTGTGTTACCAATTGTTTTCTTGGTGACTATGGTCCCAGCTGCCTTGAAATCATTGATAAGATCCTCCCGTATAGTTCTGGACTGATTCCTCACCGTTATCATGATCATTGCAACTCCACGAGGTGAGATCTTGCATGGAGTCCCAGGCCGAGGGAGTTTCTTCCATTTGCGAATAATCGCACCAACTGTTGTCACCTTCTCACCAAGCTGCTTGGCAATGGTCTTGTAGCCCATTCCAGCCTTGTGTAGGTCTACAATCTTGTCCCTGACATCCTTGGAGAGCTCTTTGGTCTTGGCCATGGTGGAGAGTTTGGAATCTGATTTATTGATTGCTTCTGTGGACAGGTGTCTTTTATACAGGTAACGAGCTGAGATTAGGAGCACACTCTTAAAGGGAGTGCTCCTAATTTCAGCTTGTTACGTATATAAAAGACACCTGGGAGCCAGAAATCTTTCTGATTGAGAGGGGATCAAATACTTATTTCCCTCATTAAAATGCAAATCAATTTATAACATTGTTGACATGCGTTTTTCTGGATTTTTTGTTGTTATTCTGTCTCTCACTGTTCAAATAAACCTACCATTAAAATTATAGACTGATCATTTCTTTGTCAGTGGGCAAACGTACAAAATCAGCATGGGATCAAATACTATTTTCCCTCACTGTATTGTACAATCAGTAAAATATAAAATAGTTTTTTTTTATTTCAATGAAAGGTGCATAATAATTGACAATTATCGTGCCTTAAATTAATGTGTTTTTGCATTCTCTTTGTATGCACATTTGAATCATTTTTTTAAAATTCATTACCAGTGTAATCACTTGAGTGGTGTATGGGGAATAACAAACCACAGCTTCTCACTATTTTTGTATTTGTTGATTGGCCTCTGAAAACATTATTGACAGTTTCATTGTTTCTTCACACCTAGGATGCCTCAATAGCTCACAGATTTCACCTGATGAGAGAGAAGCACCCAGAGAAATTCAACAGCCGGTAAGATCACACACACATCCTCTAGGGTCCTCATTCAAACAGTCATCGTTATGGTCGAGCTAGGGTGTTATTAAAGTCATTTTAAGATCTGTGAATATGTATATTAACATTTGTTGTGTATTTTAATGTCGAATTTTGTTTTAAAAAAAGAGATGAATTTTATATAACCATGACAACATTTCTCGAGTTTTCTGTGTGTGCCATAATATCCACTACTGGATGAAGGCCTACCCATGCCGTGTTGGTCATGGGTGTTATACTTCACCAGACTGGTCATTGCAGGTTATCTCATAACCAGTTCCAATATCACCTTACTGTTAGCTCTGGCCAGGAATAAAACTCAGATCTCTGAGTTAATAGAGCAGTGTGCTAACCACTATGCCACCATTGCACTCCATGAGCGTGCAAATATTCCATACAGTTGAATTTGGATAGCAGGGATAGCTACTTATTTATAGACAAAGAAACAACTACACCGTTTCATCTTCCAGATACACCTATTTTTAAATTATGATCCTGTATCCATTTACTTTGAAGAAGCAAGGACATGTTATATATTCTTGGTTCTTTCGGTAAAGTCACGGAGAAGGGAAACAATAAAATAATACAAAAATATAAATCAATATTATTTTATTGTTTCCCTTCTACGTTACTTTACCGAAAGAACCAAGAATATGAATCCCTCCAGTCACAAAAGCTTTAAATCAAAATTCAAGGACATGTTGTTTAACGCATCTAACATTATATAGTAATTTATTCAAAAGTTAATGGGAAAGTGGTTATATTTTTTATTTTCAGTAGCTTACTTAATAATTACGATTGATAATACCTTCTTTGTATTTATCACCTTCCAAGCGCTTGTCTAAATTGAACACGAGTGCTTTTGCATGCATACATTGACTGGTACTGTACGCGTAACAACTGTGGCCACCTTGGCAGCAGAGCGTGGAGCTTCACATAGTGTGTATGAGCCATTATATTTGTTTAAGGTTTGAAAAGTGGTTGCGAGAAAACCTGTGTATTTTTCACTTCATAATAAAAAAGCAATTCAGAAAGTGTGTTTCATGGCTTGAAGTTGGGAACGTTGAAATAATGTTGTGGTAATGTATTTAGTAAAACAAAACCAGTTGGTTTAGCAATTTGAATGATTTAAACAAAAAACTGCAAATCAGGTGATATGTGTTTTACTTTTGTAATTAGCTTTTTATGCCCCACCAAAATAATGTATAATCATCAGAAGCAATACAGCTCGTCAGAATTTAGAATGTTTATTTAACATTTTGACTTCAAACTTTCGTGACTGCAGGAATTCATATTCTTTGGTTCGATCGCAACACAAGCGGACGACTGCTTGTGTTGCGATCAAAACGTCGTGATATTTTTATTCACTTTATTTTTATTTTTTCTATCTACGGAACTTTACCAAAAGAACCAAAGAACATGTTTATTTAACATGTTTTCATTGTTATGTAAGCCTTATTAGCAATCATTGTAAATATACTTAAACCACTTACTGGCCTTAAATACATTACAACACCAAGTTATGATCAAGACCCTAAGTTATCCGTTGAAAGGCTTTTGTCTTATTGAGTTATACAAAAGCTAGCTGAAAAATTGTTTCAACCTATAAATATTTGTAGACCGTATAACTAGACTTTTACTCTTATCAGATATATGTTTAATGTCCCCAATGCTTATTTCATCTGAAATATATATTGGAGACATTGACTTTCTATTAAGTTGAAATAATGTGCAAAATCAGTTGCCCCAGCAGACCCACCTCTCTGCCCAACCCCCCCCCCCCCCTTCTCTCTATTTAAGGCCTCGACACAGAGGCATTGGGTCTCTGTGTGTCTATGTTGTCTCTCTCTCTGTTTGTCTGTGTTGTCTCTCTCTGCTTGTGTGTCTGTGTGTCTCCGTGTCTGTGTTTTGTTGCTCTCTAAAATTTAGTTCTACCTGATGACGGTTGCTTGTGTTGCAATCGAAACGTCGTATTCTATTATTTATTTATTTTATTTCTACATGGCTTTACTGAAAGAACCAAAGAGTACAGATATTTATACTTTGCTTAAATGCTGTGTACATTATTTTTTTTAAGTTCACACCGGTTACAAAATCAGACATATATACAAACAAATATTGCACCTACATTATATTTTGGGGGATATATTTTAAAAGAGAATCTAGTCATGAAACTGGTAAATAATGGCATCTTAAATGCCACAGGACCCTTTATTTTAACACGCACTGTAGCACAGACGAGAGAGAACGGAACGCGACCTAAGCACAACTGTTGGATCATAATGCACCTGCAAGGCATTACTGGGAGAGCCAGTGAGAGTAATCAAACCAACGTAACCTCTGAAGCTAAGTGTACGCTGTTTGTCCCCCCCACCCCCCATGGCTAAGCTGTCATACTCTCATCTACAACACTTTGGGTGTTTGTAGCAGTTGATAGCTGGAATGCTGATAAGCTCTCATGAAATGTATTTGTATTTCCCATTAGCAGACTGCCCCATATTGTTGTTCTCTAATACCTGTTAAGATATAGGGTTGAACAAACATGGTCAGCTTGAAAAGTTACAGTTTTCTATTTCATCGATGTTCTTACTGCGTATCAGTTTACCCTCCCAATAACTTTCGTGGACTCAATAAAAAAAAGTGCACAACAGTTACAGGCTTTTGTAACTTCTAATATAGAAGATAAAGAATTTTAAATTAACTTGGTGATATTTATGCACGCCAGAGGTTCTCCAAGTTAAAATATTAAAGTGTCTCATGAAAGCTGAAATATCTAATTGTAAATGCATATTCTTGCAACTCCATGACCCTCTGCCTGCCAGGGATATTTTAAGGTGTTCTCCAGCTGGTGAACTCCTAAAAAAACGATTAAAAATCCACCAGTGACCACAAATTGTTTATTTCATGCACACCTCATAACTGTATGATGGATAGCAGACAGACGCACATGGCTGCAAATATGCCATGGTAGTGCAAGTTTCACATTAATAATGAATTACTGCAGGGATATTTTCATGAGGACCTCAAAAAATGGATACAAATGACACATTTTAAAATGTACTCATGGTAATTTATTGTGATGTATCTTTCAGGAAAAATAAAGAAAAAAAACACAATTATTGACTAATATCTCAATTCAACCTTTGATAAATAAAGCATAATGTAGTATATTTGCCGAATTATGAAGATGCATCAACCTATAACGTATATAAACATCCCCAATTAGCATAAGCAAGCAGAGTGTTCAGTTCACAAAGTGTAGAAAATATATTCTGTATTTTAAAAAATGATGTGTTGCTCTAGGCCTGTAGGTCCATCAAGAGTGAGAGAGAATCGGTTTACTAAGTGTGCTCCTTTCCACCAATGCTTCTCAAAATAGAACAAAGAATCCTACAGTTCCCTGATAGTGCCAGTCTGATGTTTCACATCGGTTTTCCCTCTGGTGAAGAAGCTTCCATTTCAGACGATTAAATTCCCTATCGTAGTGAGCAATGTGAAAATAAATAAATCCACCACGACATTTACGTGGTATTAAGCTGGTGTGTTACAATAGGTGTGAATTGACTAACACGACCTCGAATAACATATTAGAAGTGCTTTACATTTTTTAAACTGATATGTACATTTCAGCATTGAAATATTCACTTCCTTTTCATATCTGTTACTGTAATTACATTTTTCTGATTGTTTTTTTTATCTTAAGAAGCCCATCAATGTTTATTTAAAACTGCATTCAAAGTTGTGTTAGAGACCTAAATTAAACAGGCAACAGGGGTATATGTTGGCCTTATATACCTGCATGTTTTCAAAGTGTCACGTAGCAAGCCAATAGAAATACATTTGTGCTTTTAATGTTTGAGGTGGTATGTTGGCATTAGAAGAGATGTGTACATTATATAACAAAAAGAGAAAGTGTGCCCCAGAGTTATTCAATGCTCATTCTGAATGTGAGAATATTTATTCAAATCAAGGTAAGGCTTTGCTGGGTTTGTGTTGGTGTGGGGCATGGGACATGTAAATAGAGTGACTCGTCCCTTATTGATGTGATGAGATAACACGTTGTTTTGACATTTGTAGGCCAATAGGGCCTTCACAAGCATCTCGCGGCTATCTTTCTTTAAAAATTCTTATACCAGCACGTCACTTAAGACGTACAGCAGTCATATAATAATGTGGTTATCATGCAATAATCGCACTGTCATGAATAGAAGCGGTAAACGTTCATGTGGCTATTACATCTCAACAAAAGAGTCCAAAAAAAATCACATTACGCTGATGAACACTTATAAGCATGGACACTTATTAAGGCTCTGCTTCATGCCATGGATAATGTGAAACTTCCACCATTGGATCAGGGTGACTGATATAGATTAGCGCCACTGAACACTCGTTTGAGCAAAGAGACAATACGACTTATGAAGAACAGCTCGTGTGAACAGAATATATACTTCCACATTAGTGCCTCTGTGACCTAAGCAGCTGTGGATTCCACGATCCTCTCCTTGGTAATCTGGGCACAAGGGGTTGTTTTATATCACAGTTGCTAAGCAAAGTATCCACATTGGTAAAATGTGAGCTAATTAATAAAACTGTAAGGCAGTGAGGGTTCTTCAAAGCACCATTGTGAACTATTTCCATACATTTACATGGCTGTCTGGTGCAGACAATTAGGTTGTTGCCCTCACTGTTGTCCGCAGAGCTTGTTTATATATTTCGGTGCGTGTGTGAATGGTAGCACCGCCTGCCAGTGGAGTTTCTCTTGGTACTCTGATTTCCTCCCACATGCAACAAAAAAATGGTATTTGCCAAGCATCCCTAACATAGCCCTCCTGAAAATAAGAGTCTTTGGGCTCAGTGAGGTTTTCCTGAACAATTAAAATTCAAGATCATGATCCAAGGTCAGTCCACTGCGGGATGCAGGCCTCCCCAGGCTTCCGTCATCTCTCACAACCCTGGGATCGTGTATAACAAAGTGAATCCACCGAGCACCTGCCCACGAGCTGATTTCATTGCTCCGTCTCCCCCATTGTATGTCCTCTTCAAAGTGGTTCCTTCCATGTCTGCCACTCCATCATTGTTCTTTGGCTATCGTTTCTTCGAGTGACATATCATGCCCGAGCGCGCTAACTTTTCTTAACAGTTTGAATGATGGCATTCATCTAGGTGTATTCTCTAACCCAGTAAAATTGATTCTGCGAACAATAATAGTTACATATTCTTGGTTCTTTCGGTAAAGTCACGTAGAAGGGAAACAATAAAATAATAAAAATACATTTTTCGGTATAGTTACGTAGAAGGGAAACAATAAAATAATAAAAATATATTTTAAGAATATATTTTAAATACATAATAAAATAATAAAAAAACATATTTTTAAAGTATCTTTTTAAAATATATTTTTATTATTTTATTGTTTCCTTTCTTCGCGACTTTACCGAAAGAACCAAGAATATGAATCCCAGCAGTCACGAAAGCTTTAAATCAAAATAATAGTTAAATTTATAATTCAGCCTCTAAAGATGTTTTTACAGAGCTGTTCCAGTTGAATCTTCTTACTTTACATGTTTAGAACATTCGAGTAAATTATATGATGCATATCGCACTGACACCCCACTCAATATTTAGTCTATCTTCTTTGTTGCAGAGTGGTTAAATCTGCTTATGTCAAAATCGACTGGAGAGATTTTGTTTACATTGAGCCCATGTTGTCAGGTTTGGCTTTATTCCATTTATGATGCATTCACAGTCCCCGATGCTAAGTGCTCACACATCAAGGAGCAAGCTGCTGAGTCCATTTATACAAACAACAGTAATGAATCACACCTTCCAAAGCAGTTTCTGTACTTTTCAAGCCACGAGTTAGTGCTGACTGACCGTGTTAGGCTTAATATAAGATCAGCCAACTCATATTCCACTCAATAAAATTCTGGGTCTTGGTACATTTATGTACACAATTATCGCCTCTGTTAAGTATGTTTTATGGAACTGTAATGCCAAAGGAAGTGTGTTAAACTTGTTATAAGTGCTGTGCTGTCTCCTGCAGTTCCTCAAAAAAAAACCATGACCGTTTTTGACCATATTTCTTAGAGATGGCAAAGATGTGGGGAAACCTTCAACCAGCAGTGGATCGATGGATTGATCATGGCTGTTGATAATCTTGATGACCATGGCTGTTGATAATCTTGATGACCATGACATTGTATAATACACTATCCAGTAATATATTGAGGGATACCTTGTGTTGTACCATGACAAGGTACTTTTTAAAGAGTCATTTCGAAATAACAGTTTTGAAAGGATATGTATTCAGACAAATACAGACACACTTAGTGCATGTAAAAATACCGATGCAACATTGAATTTAGGCATACATTAGGTCGGCATGCATTAATGGATGATGTGTAAACTTCGTATTATATTGATGATAATATGATTTACATGCTTCTTTATACATATTATAAACGTCTACAAGGCATATCTGTAATGATGTGCCAGTGCCTAACTGACCCGTGTTATACTGATGGCTGATGTATGTTGTGCTTTGTTAGGGTTAGGTTTACAAAAAATGGTAAAACAAAAAAACGTACAGCAAAACAAGAAGCTTCAATAGAGCCTCATCCCATGGTAATTAGTGAGTGTGCGTTGTCCGAAACAATAGTATTGAATTAAACGATATCAGTCCAATTAATACATTACACTACAATTTGGAGATGTCTTAGGGATGGCAAACTGCATCTGAAGACGCTATACAAAACAATGTGCCGTACAAATGGAGTTGTTACATCTGTGTATAAAGCATACGTTTAGCTTTTCAGTAACATTGATTTACAATAATTTGCATGATTTGCACATTTTATTCCGGAATACAGGATGAAGAACAAGCTGTGGTACTTTGAATTTGGGACATCAGAGACGCTGTTTGCTACCTGCAAGAAGCTCTACGAGTTCATGGAGGTGGAGGTGAGAATGGGATTTGTGACATCGTCGTCATACGTTGGATGAAAACGAACACACGCCAGTCATGCGTGACATGAGGATTGCACGCAGTCCTACTGCATAGGAGAGACGCAATTGAGATCGGTGTTTGCCATTGCTCCGTGTAAGGCGCTAAGCTCTACAACAATATCCTGCCTGTGCGTAGACAGACTGGTTAGTTTACATAGTGTCGTTCATGGAAATTGCATTATATTGTGTCGGTCATGCAAATTGCAATTGCTGAGGAAACACAGACAAGCAGGAAGGCAGCCAGGCAAGTGGTGAGCCGGTGCCAACAATTGTCCAAGCTCTGCAGTCTTCTATGTATGAATATTTTTTTTTAAACCAATTAATGAGTGTTTTTTTTTTATAATAGTAATTTATATTCTTGGTTCTTTCGGTAAAGTCACGTTGAAGGGAAACAATAAAACAATAACATATATATAAAACAATAAAATTCTCACGACGTTTCGACTGCAACACAAGCAGTCATCATCACTGCTTGTTTTCAAATTTTCTTGTTGTGGTTTTCACACCTGATGATTGCTTGTGTTGCAGTCGAAACGTCGTGAGGATTTTATTGTTTTATATTTGTATTATTTTATTGTTTCCCTTCTACGTGACTTTACCGAGAGAACCAAGAATATGTATAAAATATGCCTATTTTTTCAGGCCAGCAATTAGGTTCACTTTATAATCATGTGTGAGCTCGTTGAGACAAGTCGTATTTCAAGGAAAAGCTTCAAAGCAAATTGAGTACCGCGAACCACATGTTTTGCAGCATAAAAGTGGTTTGGAATGAACAAAACAATATGCAAGTTTGTAGGTTATGTTAAACTAATAGAGTAATAAAACATAATTTAAATACAAATTTTAAACAAAATAAAACTACAGATTATGCAAAAAGGCGAATAACGATGACTATAAGTCATAAAATGTAATCCTGTAATTCAATTTAAATGCAATATAATTGGGGTAATTACGATTGGTTTTCTACGTGAGTAGCTTTTAAAACATTTAGTTCGGATGGCCAAATAGATATTCGATTTGTGAAATATAATCGGACTGAGATGGTGCAATAAAAAGTGAAGTGCAAACACAATATTATTCCGTATAACTGAAGCATTATACATGCAACACAAGGCACATTTTCTCATATTAAGGACTTAGATTTAGCGTGAAAATGGCAAACACGTTGTCTGGCCAATTGAAGAAACAGTTTTCTCTTGTGACTCAGGTGCACATCGCATTGAAAACTAATTTCTTTAGAACTGCTTTTCGTGTTTAGTTTGTTGTCCTTCCCCTGCACCTCCGATTAGCAAGGTTGGCTACGTATAGTGCGAAAGAAGTTCGACATACATACGTCAACATACATGCATACAGCAGTGGGCCATGCCAATGACCTGGGTGGCTCCTCCTCCTCCATGCCTTCTCGAACACGGAGCAATTGACTGCTTTGCTTAAATTCACAAATAAAAACTGGGTCTAAAAATACCATGAAAGTGACTGTCATGAATGTCCTTATGGATAGGGGTCTAAATAATTAAGGTCAATATTTCCCGTTATCAATTCATTAAAGTAAATGGGGAAATAATCCAACGCAAGGCACTTAATAAGAATCTTCATGAGATGAATCGATTGGCTGCACATGCGTTTTTCTCCCTCCAGCAGTGTATGTATGCATGCGGTACAGTGTTAAGCAACTCTGCAGGAGAGCCATGTAATATCACACTTAATATAAAAAGTGATGGGTAGCTCCGCAGATGAGCTTGCGTTTTGCTCTTCCTTTTTGATCACAATGATTTTTCCATTCTCTAAATGCATATGAAGTCAATGTGTGTGTGTGTCGGTAAAATCGATGGTAAAAATTTTAATTATTTTGTAAATACGTGGGGTTTTTTTCATGGGGTTTCGATGTATGGGTGACAGAGAGGTAGGGGTGACATTTAGAGTCATATGCAAGAGAAATATTGCTTATACTAGTTGTCGATGACAGTAAGAGAAGCACGGCTATTGAGCAAGTAGAACTTGTGATGAAGACATAACCTGCCTCCACCTTCGTTGTGGCTAAAGAAACTCCTTCACCGCAGCTCAACTGAGATGGCGCTTTCAGCCATTGCCGCATTAACTTAATCTCTTTGGCTAAGTACGCTTGCTTGTCTTTTCGGAGCTTGAGTGCAACCAAATTTAAGTGTGAACACCAACACATCCAATTTTTGCAACTTACATATAATCTAAGCAATGTAAAGTAAAGATGTAACAATGCTGTTACCATCACACCAAGTGCATGGGAAGAGCCCAGTAAAGTGGAAAGGGCTTTTTCATTCTCCATCCCAGGGCCCTCAAACCCAAGATCACGTAGTTATTGGCCCCATTCCCTCAAATGAACATTGGCCCCCAAGACATCCAGCCACCCTGTCACTTTTAGTCATTTAGTTTCTTAAATTAAACTTTTAAGGTTGAAAAATTGCCACAGCTGGATGTAAGATCAAAGGCTTCTAGGCCTGGCTGACTCTCGCCTATTTCTGCATTCCTTCGTAAGAATAATGAGCGCGTAGAGAGAGAGCAGCAGATACGAAAAGCATGCCCGGGCACACAGCTGGAAGGCTGCTGCTGACTGAATATTACTGTATTTTTAAAAATGACAGAACACAAGCCAGGACCAAAAAAAAGTATGGTTGACTGCCAACATTTAACGAGTTGAATGAACATCCGGGTAAACACTATCCTTTATAAAAACTTTTTTTTTACAAGTTTGGGTATAAATTTTGATTTAAAGCTTTCGTGACTGCAGGGATTCATATTCTTATTATTTTATTGTTTCCCTTCTACGTGACTTTACCGAAAGAACCAAGAATAAGTTTGGGTATGTTTGTCGCTTAAATTCTAGGAGAAAGCTGTGAACGGTGAATATATGTTATCTTTAACAATATAATAGCAGACTATTATACCTACAGAGTGTCTTTGATCTCAGAGATTTAAACGTAATAAAATGTTGCGTTGTATTTTTTGGTGGATCGAGAACGATTTAAAATGTCACGTGGGTACCGTCCTTGTTGAAGGTTGAAGGTGTTACCTGACATCTTGTCATGCATTTTGCAATTCACCAATGGGATTTTGTACATAACCGTTTTCAAAGGGGAACTGAAGCCTTGGTAAACCAGGTTAATGCGTAATGTTATGTATCCAGAGGAAGGCAGGTACATTTAAATTTACTGCAGTGCATAACCATGTTCTATGGCATTGTTAGCAAAAGAGTAACGATTTCAAGGCATGCTGACGGGTAGCAACAAGCAATCCTGGCCATTGTGCATTAGTTTAAGTACCACGTGATTGATGGCAAGGTCACAGGGTGAGGACAAACTATATTCTTATGCGTTTTATCTGCGGAGGACCAAATGTGTTTAGATATGTAAGCCATAAAATCGGGCACACTTACATAATGCAGTACAATAATGGAAGGCAGTATATTACATTTGTGTCCACAATGTGTTTTTTTTCTTTTAACATGCCCGCTAAAGTGCCATAACCACGTTGCGATAGTGTAAGCCAGGAAGCACTGGTTCAACCAGCATTAGTCTGTGTACACATGCCACTTGCCGTGTTGCAGAACCATCTACTCAAAAAAACGGGCCTGTACCCATGATGGCACCACTTCCTTTAGGGCGATTATCACCAAAGCTAATTCAGGAACGCTTTGTTATTTGCTTGACCTTGCCGATGCACCATGTGAAGGGCACTCCGCTAAAGTATACGATCGAAAGAGTGTTGCTTTAAATTTTGATTTGAAGCTTTCGTGACTGCAGGGATTCATATTCTTGGTTCTTTCGGTAAAGTCACGTAGAAGGGAAACAATAAAATAATAAAAATATAAAACAATAAAATTCTCACGACGTTTCGACTGCAACACAAGCAATCATCGTCAGGTGTGAAAACCACAGCAAGAACATTTTCCTGATAAATAGTGAATCCCATATGTAAAATGTTAATGTAAAACCACGGTGTGTTTAGAAAAGGATAGCCTTGTCTATGAAAAAAATATCATTTCTGAAGCCACATCTATGAATATAGCTCACAAACAAACGTTTAATTGACATGTTACATCATTAAACACGAGTGCAAACATGAAAACAGCTTTGGATTTAGACGAGGCTCAAAAGAAAGCTGTCTCTGGTGTGGCCCAATCAGGTTCAAGGACAATGCATATCTTATCAGAGTATGTTTTTTTGCATTTTGACCACAAGTATTGCGGTTAATGCAGACATGATTCCTTGTAAAAGGTTTCAGTTTGGTGTTTTAACAACTTAACACCTGTTTTGTGGCCAGATAGAAGGGGAAAAAAACTATTCTCAGCTTTGGATTGTTGATCAACTGAATTGGAAAAAGCCTGTAAAGAGGATTTTGTTTCTTAAAACCATATTAACATTCCAGAAAAATGGGGACACTAAAGAGAGATATTTTATTCCCAGCTGATTCTATTCATTTCAATGAACATCCATTTTTTTAATATAAATACTCAGCTTGGTACTTAACGGGGCTGAAGTGGTGACAGCATGGAGGAAAGCGGATATTGTGCAACAGATATCATTGCGCCATGATACAAACATTTACATTATAGACTGAAATAAAATGCAACTGCCACTGTGCTCATATGCAAATAATTAATTTACTCGGGCTGTCCTTGTTTACGGCAATTATAGTGGAGCAATCACGAGTTTTCAAAGGAAAATAAATGGATTTAAAGGCTTGATTGGTGTGGAAAATTATTTTTTTTTGCAGGGAAACATTTATTTGTTGTCCGACATGCGCCTTTTGGCTTTGCACGCTCACCTACTATTTAAATGGTGTGATTCCCGTTCAGATGCGACTAGAGTGGTGTTCTTCATTGCAAGGCCTGCGGGCCACTGGCGGACCCTGGTGGCCTTTAGTGAGACCCCTGATGTGCAGCTCCCGAAAATACACAAATGTGAAGAAAAAAACGTCCATAATGCCGTAAAATGGTTTCAATTGTGTGACGGTCCTCACACTATCTGCGAAAGTGGCCCCCCTCTGAAAATTAGTGAAGAACACTGGACTGGAGCGCTGACCAAGGATTTGTACGCCACACATCCCCTTTCCCCTTGTGCCAGTGCGACGGCGTGCAGCTGGATCTGGCCAACAGTTCCCTGGAGGGCATCACGGTGCTCAACATTCCGAGCATGCACGGCGGCTCCAACCTCTGGGGTGAGACCAACACTCGGCGGGTCAGCCGACGCAGCAGCATGCGGAGGAGTGGCCGAGAGAAGGTTCAAGCCACCATTGCCGACCAGCGGGAGCTCAAGTTCTGCCAGCAAGGTTATTGCAATCACCCGCGTGCACTCAAGACAAAGATCCCCCGTATAGGCAAAACAGACTTTTGGGTCAAGTGGTGTTCGCAAGCACCTATGAAGGCCGGCATGGCACATGAGGGGGTGGATGGCCAGCACCATGCCCGGCTGCCTTTGTCTCCCTAGTGGCAATGTTTGCACACTGTGCTAGGTACTCATTTTGAGAGGCTGAGTTGACCTAGGGGAGGCCCAGAACCAGTTCAGATTATTATAATTATTGTTACTTGGGTTGCCGGGTTCGTATTGCAGTATGCTAACCACTACGCTACCACTCCCCACACACATCAGCGTTCGTCCACCAGCACGCATGATCACACACGTATCACATATGTGATTGTCCAAGTGTGTTTGTGTGAGCACATGAACACTGCCTCAGGGGGGCTCATGCTCCATTCCTTGCACTCGCGAATGATCCATTCCCCATGTTTACCAATATTCCTCATTTATATGTAAATAAGGTCATGATGTGTTGCGCACAACTGTTGATTGGGAAAAATTGAAAATGTTGACCCTGTGAAAGCACACGAGCAGTTGTTTGAGGTGTGTTGCATTCACCACCTGAACGAACTAGCACACACACACTGTACACCAAAAACACACAAACACGGATTGAAACTGAACGCATCCCTGGACATATTGGGGGGGAGTGGTGGCGCAGCGGTTTGCACACTTTGCTATAAACCCAGTGACATGAGCTTGATTCCTCGTGACGGCTTACAGTGAGGGGAAAAAAGTATTTGATCCCCTGCTGATTTTGTACGTTTGCCCACTGACAAAGTAATGATCAGTCTATAATGTTAATGGCAGGTTTATTTGAACAGTGAGAGACAGAATAACAACAACAAAATCCAGAAAAACGCATGTCGAAAATGTTATAAATTGATTGGCATTTTAATGAGGGAAATAAGTATTTGATCCCCTCTCAATCAGAAAGATTTCTGGCTCCCGGGTGTTCTTTTATACAGGTAACGAGCTGAGATTAGGAGCACACTCTTAAAGGGAGTGCTCCTAATCTCAACTTGTTACCTGTATAAAAGGCACCTGTCCACAGAAGCAATCAATCAATCAGATTCCAAACTCTCCACCATGGCCAAGACCAAAGAGCTCTCCAAGGATGTCAGGGACAAGATTGAAGACCTACACAAGGCTGGAATGGGCTACAAGACCATTGCCAAGCAGCTTGGTGAGAAGGTGACAACAGTTGGTGCGATTATTTGCAAATGGAAGAAAGACAAAAGAACTGTCAATCTCCCTCGGCCTGGGGCTCCATGCAAGATCTCACCTCGTGGAGTTGCAATGATCATGAGAACGGTGAGGAATCAGCCCAGAACTACACGGGAGGATCTTGTCAATGATCTCAAGGCATCTGGGACCATAGTCACCAAGAAAACAATTGGTAACACACTATGCCGTGAAGGACTGAAATCCTGCAGCGCCCGCAAGGCACATATACATGCCCATCTAAAGTTTGCCAATGAACATCTGAATGATTCAGAGGACAACTGAGTGAAAGTGTTGTGGTCAGATGAGACCAAAATGGAGCTCTTTGGCATCAACTCAACTCGCCGTGTTTGGAGGAGGGGGAATGCTGCCTATGACCCCAAGAACACCATCCCCACCGTCAAACATGGAGGTGGAAACATTATGCTTTGGGGATGTTTTTCTGCTAAGGGAACAGGACAACTTCACCGCATCAAAGGGACGATGGACGAGGCCATGTACCGTCAAATCTTGGGTGAGAACCTCCTTCCCTCAGCCAGGGCATTGAAAATGGGTTGTGGATGGGTATTCCAGCATGACAATGACCCAAAACACACGGCCAAGGCAACAAAGGAGTGGCTCAAGAAGAAGCACATTAAGGTCCTGGAGTGGCCTAGCCAGTCTCCAGACCTTAATCCCATAGAAAATCTATGGAGGGAGCTGAAGGTTCGAGTTGCCAAACGTCAGCCTCGAAACCTTAATGACTTGGAGAAGATCTGCAAAGAGGAGTGGGACAAAATCCCTCCTGAGATGTGTGCAAACCTGGTAGCCAACTACAAAAAAACGTCTGACCTCTGTGATTGCCAACAAGGGTTTTGCCACCAAGTACTAAGTCATGTTTTGCAGAGGGGTCAAATACTTATTTCCCTCATTAAAATGCAAATCAATTTATAACATTTTTGACATGCATTTTTCTGGATTTTGTTGTTGTTATTCTGTCTCTCACTGTTCAAATAAACCTACCATTCAAATTATAGACTGATCATTTCTTTGTCAGTGGGCAAACATACAAAATCAGCAGGAGATCAAATACTTTTATTCCTCACTGTACATCAGTGACGAGCGTTGTATCTGAATTTGTCCTGGGCCCTCCCCCCCATCCTCCTCCCCATCCTCCTTTCACAAACTCACACTGTCCAGCAGTGAATTGACAAAAGGTTGCTGAGGTTCATGTAATGTTTTAACTGTAAAAAAAATATTGTACGTTCATAAAGATGTTATATTATGCAGGAAAGACTCAAACCCTTTTCAGTTGAGTCATTCATTTTAATGTCTGGCCAATTCATGTTTAATAAGTGCTTTACATGTACGGTATAACCAAAAAATCACCAGTTTGTTTGACCGAGCATGCATACGTGTACATATATACATATAGAGTGGAAATTAGATATTGTATTGGTGACTCACTCAAACCCTCCTGGACTATGTTAGCAACCTCTACGCACCTTTGTTCTACACGTCACATTTCCATGATCACTGGCAACAGAGATTGGTTGGCAAGGAACAACCCAGGATCAGCACCACATAGCAGACCCAGGTTCCTTCTACGTCATGAGCCACAAGGCTTCATCCCTTTCACTCTCTTCCTCTCTTATGGGAAGTTGTTTTACAAATGTAAAGTGTTTTTAAACATACAATTAATGGAGTCTTGGATGACGATACGAACCCAAGCTATAATCTCTTATTTTGTAATTCTTCTTTCATACGAACCCAAGCTATAATCTCTTATTTTGTAATTCTTCTTTCGTATGGCATTGTGAAAAGCAACAGTTTTTATTTTTTCTACATGATCATCATAAATGAATGCAAAGGTTCCCCATCCAGTCCAATGATGTGGTTGACGCAGTGTGGATTTCAGCGATACCGCCAGGATGTGCATGGATGGAGCGTTCATCGGTGATGTGCTTGATGGTTTGGGCTTCTCTCCACAGACGCAGTTGGGCGATTCGTTGATCTTCCATTTATGCAATGTGTACGCGCATCTGCCGTGTCGTGTTCGAGCGTGGTTCAGCGTGCTCCATAGTTGTTGTGGAAGAGAGAATCCCGGTACTTCCACCGTCGGATCGTGAATGATGTTTTTGTTTGCCACGTCCATAGCCGCCCATGATTCAGACCACGGAATGGCGGCGTCTTTATTTTCGGCTGCTCAAGTGGAGGCGCGAATCCAGAACAGTTTCCTGGATTTTAGCCTTGGGCGCGGGGGTTCCCTTAGATCTTGATGAAATGTTGTCGTCGCATCATCGCGTCGGATATTTTGCCGGAGCGATATTCGCCAGCACAGGAAGCCACAGGAGTGGAGTAGACTTTAGGGGACCGCTGATGATACGAAGCGCGTTGTTTATTTCGGCATGGAGTGAACAAGGGCCTGCGTCGATATCTTCAACGTGCTGGCATCGCTTCCCCAGGTTATTCCTACAAGTTTCTGAATAATATTCACTCGTGCTTTCGTTTTACCTTTAGTTTGTTTGAGGTGGTGATGGTAGTTAAGCGTCTGATCCAGGGTAACTCCTAGATACCGAGGGTGTTCATCACCATGCCTTAGCTTCACCCCGCAAAAGTTAACATTCAACGTTTTCGAAGCTTGTCTGTTGTTCAGGTCGAAGGCGGAGACAACGCTCTTCGATGGCTTTGGCTTAAGGCGCTAATCCTTGGAAGTATTCTTCCAGAGTCTTCAGATCTTTTTCGAGGACTGCCTCAGTGTCCTTCATTTTTGTTTGGGTTGCGAGTGCGATATCATCCGCATATGTGAACTTACGGCAAGATGCTGCTGGAATGTCGCTAGTATAGAGATTGAACAGCGCTGGTGCCAGAACTGATCCCTGCGGGGGTCCATTGTTCAATCTTCGTGGGCTGCTGGCAGCTTCACCAAGGTGGACGGTGAACCATCGGTTGCTCAGCATTTCGGTGATTAGTCTATTATCGGGCGGCAAGGCATGGCTTTCGCAAGCTTCAGCAGGAGTCCTTTCTGCCGTATGATATCGTAAGCTGAAGAGAGGTCGATGAAAGTTGTTGCTGTTCTGAGCTGGCATTCGAAACCGGCTGCGAAGTTGAAACAAGCAGAGTTTACTGTTGGCTGCGCATCCTGTTTCCACATTGATCCCACGATGTCATGACTGGTTATGAGCTTTGCCCAGATAAAATAAGCCCACTGGTGTTTTGTCTCTCAGCCTGGTTTGCCAGGGAGGATGGCACGTTTCCCTGTGGTCATGAAAACACGGCAGGCGCTGAGCTGGAACTTGCATTTATTCCAAGTAGTTGATGTCATCCTCGATGTCCATACTCATCACTGGGCAGATTGCCCTCTACACACATGGCAATACACTCTCCTTATACACAGGCACAAAAAGATGTGCTACAATGCCGTAACAAGCACATCTGTTGAAGCACATTATCACAAGCACATCAGAACCAGCACGAATAAACAAGCACATGTAACGAACTACAATAAATCACATTTTCTTGTCGAGCACTGTTTTTCATCTTATGTTAGTCCATTCTAACGTGGATGATATAGTTGTGTCGATTGGGAAAGAGGCAAATGACGTTTGCTGTTCATTTATTTTCACTGGTTTTGAATTGAAAAAGGTGGCATCATAAATCATATCCAGAAGGAACATTGTTTGTAATGCAGAGGAATGCAGAATCATCGAATTGCACGCACATTTGTGAGCGTGTGCATGATAGGTTCACTGCACATGCTTGATTAGG